GGCACCAACATATGTATATTACCCGGGTACCCGGGCAAATCGGGTAATACCCGACTACCCGGGTAATAAAAGCCCCGGGTAATACCCGGGTAATCGGTACCCGGGTACCCGGGCATTACCCGAATTACCCGGGCACCCGGGTAATACCCGGGTAACCGGGTACCCGGGTATCATCAGCCCTACTGCATACCCAGCGCAATGACTATACCCCGTTGCACTCCATTTCAATCAATTTGTAAACTAACTGAAATAAAACAATTTAATGAGCATTCTATGCTCCATCTTATATTTGGGGGCTCAACCCTTGTGCTGGACTATTGAACAACAACAAAAGTGGCTCGCTTAAGCTGCATTATATTTTTACACTTTTACCGTATAATAACCTTCTAAGTGACAACCTCTGGAAACTTCGAACCAGCCGAATTTCTTAAAAGAAGAACGAAAGGGCAAATATAAATGGAAATGTGCCGTTTAAATTATAAGAATAGCAATATGTGAGAAACTATGAGAAAGAACGCGGAAGCGCAAAGAAGACAACAATACGTTACACGGTCAAAAGCGGGNTTATTTTTACACTTTTACCGTACCAGCCGAATTTCTTAAAAGAAGAACGAAGGGGCAAATACAAATGGAAATGTGCCGTTTAAATTATAAGAATAGCAATGTGTGAGAAACTATGAGAAAGAACGCGGAAGCGCAAAGAAGACAACAATACGTAACACGGTCAAAAGCGGGAAAAGATAATAAAAATAAAAACGAAAGTGAAGATAAAGCTGTGAGCGAAGTAGAAAGTGACAATAATAACAAGAGCGAAAACATGGAGGCTAAAATCGAAGAAAATAGTAAAAGTTTACACGACATAATTCAATTGCTTACTCTAAAAATTCAAGCTGACGAAATTCGTCAAAATGAGCCCAAAATTGCAACAGAAAATTTCGCGAAAGTTTTGCCTAATTTTGATGGGAAAAGTGTGCCGGTGGAACGTTGGCTGGCTAAATTGGGCAAAACGAGACCGCGTATAACCTAACTGAGCAACAAAAATATGTGAAAGCTCGCGGAAAAATGACACAGATGGAACAACTACATCTCGAATCGGTGTTTGTAAGTACATATGAAGAGCTATTAAAAGAGTTTAAACGTACGTTTGCAAGTGCCGTAATACATAAGAAGTTAAGCGAAAGAAGAAAAAAAAGTAACTAAACATCCCATCAATATGTGTTAAGCATGAAAAAAATAGCAGCGGTAGGTGAAGTTGGGAGTGAATCTGTCATACGTTACATTGTTGACGGATTGAATGTCAAAAGCGAATGCAAATACAGTATGTACGGCTGCAAATCGTACCATGATCTTTACGAAAAATATGATGTACTTGACCATATGAACGATATCGAAAAGAAATATAAACAATACGGTCCTGTAAAAAGAAGTACACAGAGTGAAAAAATAACTCGTTGTTTTAATTGTGGGTCCCCAGACCATTTAAGAAAGGACTGTAAAACTGATACTAAATGTTTCAAATATAATGGAGCTGGAAATATCTCTAAAACCTGCCCGCAGTTTTCAAAACGCATTCAAGTGATTAAGGACAATAAAAGGTGTAAGACTATGCAATTCTGTATGACGCTTTACTGGGGTTTGATTTTGCATCTAATTTCAGCTTAACGCTCGATGACAGTGGCTACAAATTCACGAAAACGATAGGTCAAGAGGGTAGTGACACATCGAGTGAACTAATGGTCTACAATGTCTCGGAAAATAAAGTAGAAATCAACTCACCGCAGCAGTTCCAGTCGCTAATACGATCGATAATTAAAGATTACAAACCAACGGAAAGCAATGTTGAGTGTCCTGTGTTCCTGAAAATACTTCCAGATGGTCAGATTACGCCGTTTCGTCAGCAGACAAGTCGTCATCCACCTGTTGAATGTGATGCCATAAAAGAACAAGTTGACGAATGGCTGGAAAATGGTGTGGTACGCAAATCAACATCTAACTTCGCTAGTAGAGTGGTTATTGTAAAAAAGAAAGATAGCACAGTACAGATAGTACAGAGTTTGCGTTGATTTTCGGCAGTTAAACAGCATGGTGCTAAAAGACTGCTTCCCAGTACCCCTCATTGAAGACGTGCTCGAAAGGCTTCAAGCGGCAAAAATGTTCATTGTCATGGACCTGGAAAACAGATTTTTCCATGTACCCATTGACGAGCCAATTCGCAAATTGACGGCATTTATCACAAAGCAGGGCCTTTACGAGTTCAACAAAGCCCCGTTTGGGTTTTGCAATTCCCCTGATACGTTTGTAAGATTTATCACTTACGTTTTCCAAAATCTCGTTGACCAAGATATGATGCAGATTTATGTGGACGACATTATCATCTACGCACAAACGTCTGAAGAATGTATCACCAAGCGGAAGCAAGTACTGTCAGTGGCGTCCAATTACAACCTAAACATCAAATGGAGGAAGTGTCATTTTTTGGAGAGCAAGATCGACTTTCTTGACCATACAATAGAAGGTGGCAAAATTTGGCCGGGCCAAGAGAAAACAAGCGCTGTTAGAAATTTCGATACACCGAGAAATGTCAAAGCGGTGCAATCCTTTTTAGGATTAACCGAATTTTTCCGAAAATTTATAAAAAAAGGGTATGCACAGATAGCACGGCCCCTGACAAACTTGTTGAAAAAGGATATGCCTTTTAAAGTTGACGAACTGAAAGCAATCAGTCAGTTGAAGAATACATTATGTGCTGAACCAGTTTTAAGAATTTATTGTAGAAATGCTCCCATGGAATTACATACTGATGCCTCGAAAGACTGTTTCGGTGCGACGCTGTTGCAGAAGTTCGATGGAAGCTTGCATTCTATACTTTACTGGAGCAAGAAAACGACGCCTAGTGATGCTAACCGCCACAGCTATGTTTTAGAGGTCAAAGCAGCCTATCTTGCGATCGAGAAATTCCGAAATTACCTCCTGGGTGTTAACTTTACGCTCGTCACCGATTGTTCCGCGTTTACACAAACCATTAAAAAGAAGGACGTACCACGAGAGGTTGCCAGATGGATTTTGTACCTGCAAGATTTCAACTTTCGAGTTGAACACCGTGTTGGAAATAAGTTGAAACACGTAGATTGCTTGAGTCGCTTTCCAAACGTGCTGGCCATGGGCTCGCAGATTTCAGCCCGCTTAAAAAGTGCTCAGCGAAAAGACAGTTTCACCAACGCTATTTTAGAAGTTCTTAAAAGTCGTCCTTATGATGGGTTCAACGTTAAGGGAGATATTTTGTATAAAAGCGTGAATGGTAATAATTTAGTCGTCGTACCCAAGGAGATGGAACGTGAAATTATATCTGAGGCTCTTAACGTTGGCCATTGCGCACTTCAAAAGACGATGCATAGCGTACAGCAGTAGTTTTGGATTCCCCACAAAGAACGTAAAGTAGCACAAATAGTCAACGCCTCTGTAAAGTGTTTGCTGTATAACAAGAAACTCGGAAAACAAGAGGGTTATGTGTGCTGCATCGACAAGGGAAGTCTACTTCTACATACGCTGCATGTTGACCATTTAGGCCCAATGGACGCAACAACTAAACAGTATAAATACGTTTTCTCTATGGTCGACGGGTTTTCAAAATTTGTTTGGTTATTTACGACAAAGAGTACAAGCTGCGATGAGGTACTTAAAAAACTGGCAGAATGGTCGACCGTCTTCGGCCTGCCTTCTCGCATAGTGAGCGACCGTGGGGCAGTTTTTCTTGCACTACTTTGAGTAATACATTAAGTCGAATGCTATCGAAAACGTCTGGACCACTACGGGTGTTGCTAGGGGCAACGGGCAAATTGAACGCGTTAACAGATCAATGCTGTCTATAATCTCAAAGCTGTCCGCGGAAGATCCCTCAAAATGGTATAAATTTGTTCCACAAGTCCAAAGCGCAATCAATTCACATATGCATAGCTCAACCAAGAAGTCGCCGTTTGAGTTTATGTTCGGCGTACAAATGAAAAACCAAATTAGTGATAGAGTTTTGAGCGTGCTAGAGCAAGAATGTGCAGAAAGCTTTGACACGGAGAGGCAGAAATCTCGCGAAGAATCCAAAAAGCAAATACAGCAAGACCTCTACAAAAAGAATTATGACAAAAAGCGTAAAGGTGAATACATCTACAAAGAAAGAGATCTGGCGTCTGTTAAACGCACACAGTTTGTCGCTGGAAAGAAGCTGGCGAGTCCGTTTCTCGGTCCATATGAGGTGGTAAAAGTCAAAAGGAACGGCCGCTATGATGTTCGAAAGGCAGCGCAGGTAGAAGGTCCGAATGTAACAACAACAAGTGCTGACAATATGAAATTATGGAAATACGTCGAACACAACGATGATTTATTATCGTCTGGGACAGACGATGAGTAGTCAGATGGCCGAATGTAAAATATGTAGTTGGCAACCCGCTGGAGAACGAGAGAAGTGGTCGAAAGAATGGAGAGAAAACGTCAAGTAGCAGATGTGGTAGGAATAAAAAAGCCATCGTTCATCGAAGAGTTGAAGAGGAGTCGCGAATCAGTTGGTGGTCGAATCGTAGTTCACGTTGTTAAGTGGCCAAAGTAGTTTTCCGTCGTAAAGTCGTCAAGTTGTCTAAGTTGAAGTGGTCGAGCCGTGAAGTCGTCGTATTGTCCAAGCCGTTGCTGAATCTCTTTTTAAAATCATTTATTTAATATACTTATACTTTTCAATCAATTTGTAAACTAACTGAAATAAAACACTTTAATGAGCATTCTATGCTTTATCTTATAGGGATTGGCAAGGTTGCATTTTGGACAATATGCTATCGCATTCTTCAACCCCTATTCCATGCGTTCGTGAAATCCCCATCTCACCAACTAGGCTACTTAAAAAGTTATAGGCGAAAATATTTTGGTTTCCCCATAAGGCTAACATTGCAGTCCAAATGTTTAAAATGTTTTTTTTCGAATTCAGGTTTTTCGACTTAGGCGGTTATTGCTTATGACCACAGATATGTCATTCTATGGAAACATATGTATGTAAGTTAACTACATATATATCGCCGATGTTTTTGCGAAACCGCCAATCGACCAGGTGCAAAACCGCCTAAGGGCCGGTTGTTCTATGTCTGGTTAGCACGAATCGGAGGTAGAATCTCTGATGAAATACAACGACTGCTTTATCGATCACATCTTATATGCATGATGTCGAAAATGTCGATAATGATGTTTAACCGGCAAGTAGTGATAACCAGACATTGAAAAACCGAGAACCCTAAATCGCCATTGTGAAAAAAATGAGATTTGGTAACCCTGAACTCCAGGCATCGAGATTTATGCATAACCGTTGAAACAGAATGCCGGCGAACGGGGAATTTTTCGCCGGGAATGTTCGCTGTAAAAATTAAAACACACTGACGTATATGAGAACGCGCACAACCAAAGCAAACGACGGCGTTCGTCCGACGACTGTTCGCGACGATAGGCTTAATTCTATTGTCGTCGCTGGCGGCAGCGGCAAAATACGAACCATTGTGGCCATATGCTAAATATTCCCTTTAAATCGAAACTGAAAAATACTGTATTAGTTTTTGTTAAAAATTAATAATCTTGTTGTTTGTAAAAATTTTAATTGTACCTTGTCATAAGTAGCTTAATTCGTTTTGGCCGTAGTCGCGTTTTACTGAGCGAAATTTTTGAGAGGAAGTTGCTGACGTCGGCGAAAATTCGGCGTACGCCGGTATTGTGTTTCAGCGGTAAGAATCATAAAATCGTTATTAAAATAACACTTTTGTAAAATAATAGCTAGAGAAAATAGCGCCTATCAAGGCAATGCCTTCAAAGAAAAATCGGGTTTTCGCTCTCCTGTAAAATTCGAGTGCCGTAAGATTGGCCATGTTAAACACAGTTGAAGCAAATTTCCGGTATTTCTCTTCTAGCGCCTGAAACTATACTTATTATTTACTACCGCCGGCAGCTTTAACAAATTTATAGCGTTTTTACTTTGTTTTTGGCAAATTACGCCCTGTTAGCCATAACTTTTACTGTGTTTCGATCGCCTTTGTATTAAATTGCATTGTCATCATGGTTGGAACTATGCTGAAAATTTTAAGTCTCTAGCTTGTCGGGAAGTTAGTTTAAAATTTCCGCGGGATGAGCAAGTTAAATAAAGGCTTGTAATAATAAGCCATAGTAACATTGACAAATAGAGTGCCGGGTATGCAGTTACGGTTGCACGGCTATACTCATTCCCGACTCTTTCGTCCTCGTTCGCGCACTCGGGGCAGCGTGAGCAACCCATGTGCGAGATGCGGTACCCATTCCTAGTGGAGCCTTGGTCACGGAAGGAAGAGAGGGAGCTTCGGTGAGGCTACTCCGACTTATTTTGATTAAGGACTCCCTGAAGTCTACAGCGTCTGTTCGCCAGTAAGTGCGGCTGCAAGCGGGTGTCTGTCTTGGAGCTAGCGGCTCGCTATATAAAAGTTAATTTTTTTGCTAAACCACCACCGTCCCAGCAATGGGATGTGCGCTGTGTGTAAAAGCCCCTTCCAGTGAAGAAGCGAAGGAATGCCTCGGATGAGACGCCCCTTATGATGACGGCCACGGCAAATGTTGTTACGATTTGAGGGCATGCACCTGGAATGTCCGGACCCTCAATGGGGAAGGTGCCTCTGCCTGGCTGGTTGATGTCCTCGGTAGAACAAAAGCTGACATCACCGCTATCCAAGAAATGCGTTGGGCGGGGCAAGACAAACAATGCCTGGGGCCTTGTGACGTCTACTGCAGCTGGCATGTAAAGGAAGGAGCGCAAATTCGGTGTTGGATTTGTGGTGGGAGAGACTCCGTCGCAGGGTGCTGTCATTCACTCCGGTGGACGAGTGTCTAGCCCTAATCTGTATCAAAGCGAGATTCCTCAACATCTCGCTCATCTGCGCCCATGCCCCGACGGAAGAGGTATCCAAGGATCTCTTCTATGAGCGCTTGGAGCACACGTACGAGCGCTGCCCCTGCCACGATATCAAAATCGTGGTTGGCGACTTCAATGCCACCGTCGGAAAATTTAGCGTCCTCGGCGAAACGTCCCTGAACGGACTGAGGCTAATCGACTGCGCCGGGGCCCTTCAGTGTTTTGGACGTACGTTCACTCCGAGGACCAAACATCGACTCAGACCACTATCTTGTTGCAGTCAAGATACGCACCCGCCTCTTTGCAGCAAAAAATGTGCGCCCATATATGCAAAGAAAGCTTAAAGTGGAAAAACTGCAATCACAACAAACAGCCAATGCATTCGCTACTCGACTCTCACACCTGTTCTCAGAGAGCACTCTTCAACAAACCGACATATGCGAGCAGTGGAACCACATTTCCCGCTCATTAAGTCCGCCGCCGAAGTAGTAGTAGGATTTCAGCGAGCCCGAAAGAACAACTGGTACGATGAGGAGTGCCAGGAAGCTGCAGAGATAAAAGATGCCGCCTACAGGGACACGATGCGATCGGGCGCAACGCGCGCTATCTGGGACCGCTATAGGGATCTGAAGAGGGAAGCGAGACGTATTTGACGCAATGAGAAGAGAGAGGCGAAAAAACGTGAGTGCGACGAGCTTGAAATGCTGGCCGACAGGAAGAATGCCGGTAAATTTTACCAGAGAGTTAGGCGACCTACGGAGGTACAGGCGTACTCCTGTAAGGACAACAATGCACAGTGGTACCATAGTAGGTCATTCGAAAAAAATATTGATGTGTCATTTTGACACCATGTCCTGTCTAATTACTAACAAACAGCCACTCTAACTGGGAATAGAAAAAATAATAATTTTTTAACGCTAAAGCTCCGTTTCAACCGTCGAAAGTGAGGACTTTCCATAAGTGCGTATTATTTATAATACTACGCATTATTTTAAGTGAATCCCGGAGCAGATTTTGATCAAAAATATTTACATGTCAGAACTTTCTTGATGTGGAGCTGAAAGCTGAAGGTATGTAGAATATACCAAGTATTTGATTTTTTTCTTTAAAGTGTCTTAATAGTAGTTTAAATATAATTTTAAATAAGCGGCAGAAAGTATAAAAAAAATTCCCTTTTTCGATTTATCAAAGCTTTTAATTACTTTTGCACCAAATTGCACTCATGATATTAGTACCAAAATGTTTGACCAGATCTCTAGTTTCAATATCAAAACCTTTTAACTGCGTTTAGCTTCCTCTGGGTAATGCATAAAGATTATACGACAACCCTCAATTTCAAAAAGGTGTTCAAGGTTTCACTTCTAATTGGCACTATTGACCATTTTTGTAAATTTATTTTAGGATCGAGTTATAAGTGTTCTTTTGCTCGAATGTTACAAATGGCTCTCCTATCAAAGCGTCAAAAACCAAGAAGAAAGGAAACGGAAAGTTTTTGAAGCCCTGATACAAGCTATGCCATCAGGCGAAAATGTAAATATTGACAGTTTGAAAAATTGCATTTTCTACCTTTGCCGAATTTTTTTGAAATATTGGACGCAAGTTAACAGATCAAGATCCAGACTAATCACCAAATACTGCGACTAGTTAAATGAAAATGAAAATTGCACTCTTTTTATATTTGCAAAGACTGGTAATGAAGATTTGTCCTCTACAAGCAAGCAATTGCATAGAAAACCATCTGCTGACTGCAGTAAGAGATCTAAGCGCCGCAGATTAGCTCAACTGTCAAAGGTCGATAGTTCTGCCGTCACTGCGATAATTAATGATTCCGCCCAATCAAGCACCTCTTCTGTACAATTCAGCGCTGACGAAATGGTATCACTAATTACGGAGGCTAAATTGACAAAACACCAGTACTTGCTTGTAAAAGAGTTAAACACTCTAAATTTGCAAATGTTTCATATCAGAAAGTGCTAGAAGCGAAGAAACGATGTTAACCATTAGAGGAATGTGTTACACAATACTCTGCCGAAATTAATTTACAGTCTTTGTTAGACCACACTACTTCTCGAATTTTTGAATCCCAAAAGAGCGTGAAAGATGGTGCTGTTGATGCAAATAATGATTTTGTTCTAATTTGTAAGTGGGGTTTTGATGGCAGTGCCGGGCACATGGAATATAAACAAAAATTTTCGGATTCAAAAATTGAGGACAGCAGCTTATTTGTAACATCTTATGTTCCCCTTAAATTAATTTATAAATCTAGCATGTCAGATTCAGCTATTACTGTTTGGAAGAATCCCCGGCCATCCTCTACTAGGTTTCGTAGACCAATTCGGTTCAAATTTGCCAAAGAAACAAAACAACTTTCCGTGCAAGAAGAAGCTTATTTTAAAGATAAAATTAATAAGTTACAACCGACTTCGGTACTTTTCCATAATCCCGAAGTAGTTGTGGAGCATTCTTTGCATCTATCAATGGTTGACGGAAAACTCTGTTCTGCTCTTAGAGATTTATATACCAATAGATGTTATATTTGTAGAGCCACACCAAATGAGATGAACGACGTTGAACAATCTATAAGCAAACCAGCAGACAGCTCTAAATATGAGTTTGGCTTGTCGCCACTTCATTCGTGGATTCGGTTTTTTGAATATTTTATCCACGTTTCTTATAAAATTAATTTAAAAAATGGCAANCAAGAAGAAGCTTATTTTAAAGATAAAATTAATAAGTTACAACCGACTTCGGTACTTTTCCATAATCCCGAAGTAGTTGTGGAGCATTCTTTGCATCTATCAATGGTTGACGGAAAACTCTGTTCTGCTCTTAGAGATTTATATACCAATAGATGTTATATTTGTAGAGCCACACCAAATGAGATGAACGACGTTGAACAATCTATAAGCAAACCAGCAGACAGCTCTAAATATGAGTTTGGCTTGTCGCCACTTCATTCGTGGATTCGGTTTTTTGAATATTTTATCCACGTTTCTTATAAAATTAATTTAAAAAATGGCATTGTCGCTCAGACGAAGCGGTGGCA